TGCGGAGAGGGGTCGCTCTCCCGTAACACGTTCGGCGCGCGTGTTTAGTCGGAGTTGTGGCGCTGAGCGCCAGGGGCGGCTGGTCGGCCCCTTGTGGTGACGAGGCGGGGGGCGTATCGTCACAATCTACCTTCCCATTTCGTCCCCAAAGCCGCACACGATGTGATTGCGCACATTCTCCATGGTTTTTACCAAATATCGCGTTATTCATCAATTTGTACAAATTCTTTTCAAATTCATTCGTGGCTAATGTTCTAAATTTCGTATTTAGTTCGATATAATCACGAAGCCATGGGGATTGTGTGAATTGCAATACGCGATAAATTTTTGCAATACGGAGGCCATGACGAGTACACTGTTGCAGAGTGCGATAATGTATGTCATAACGCTTCTTATCGTATGTGGTTGCAAGGAGTTTGTCCTGCCGCTTGCTGGGCGACTTATCGCGCGTCGGACAAAATGGTAGGTCAGTGTGCGCGTCGTGAAGATATTGCGGATATTCCAAATCTACCTCTAGAATATAGTTTATCGAGGAATCTAACGCGACATCCATAACATTAAAATTTGTTACGTCGGTGACCCATTGAAAATCTCTGTACGGCAATGGTTGACACATTGTCCAACTATACAAATTGTTTACATCGAAATACATCAAGTATGACGACGGTTTCGATGGATCGCACGACTGTATGTACTTGTTGTTGGCGTGCGTATCTTTTGGAACATTGACTCAGACCACTGTGTATACCACGTTCGACAAACATGACCATGTCTATATCAGTCAGCAATTCAAAATTGATTTGCGTATGTTTTAGCATCGCGTCCCACGTAAAACCGAGTAGAGTAAAATAGTGTCGGGATCAAGTCCATAACTTCGCTGTACTCGCCGACCGTTTGGATAGAGAATCGTCGCCACACCGTGCATGCGTGTGCGTAATCGCTCTCGAATACGGTGTTTCCTGTCAATGAAGTGTAGAATGAATCGCGCGGTGGTAAACATTTATCATCCAATTTTTCGACACGGTCAATGTACTCGTATGGAAATACTTCTTTTCTTGTAAGAAGATTGAAATTTTCTGCAGACAAATTTCAATATTCGCGTTGCAATATTTCCAGTTTCTCTTTGCTAAGATTTGACGCCAATTTGTCGAGAATGGAACTGAGAAATTTATATAAATCGATGAATCGCAATTTTATACAAATATTTCGATTCTTTATATCCTCGGTGCTTTGTACATTTTTTGTAAACGATATATATTTTTCTTTCGTTATTGGAAGTAGATCTACACGGCCCTTGTATGCTTCAACTAGTTCCTTGATAAATGTGTATCGTAGCCGGACAAATTGTGAAAAACTACTAGAATGTAATGCGAATCTTGGTAAATTAAGTTGCAATTTGAATGTGCCGGACCTCTGTATCGCCCGTCAATTGGCAGTGATCGCGTACCCGCGAATCAGGTGCAAACGGTTCCTCACACACATGACAGTGTGTGGCGTTGTGAAATCTTTCCCAATCGTTTCGCGTGAAATCGGCCATGAGTACATTACTGGATAGAATAGATTTTACTCTGTGTGCTAAACGTCTGAGTTCATCGGCGAAAACCATGCAACGCAATCTGTATCGCGATGAAACTGATACGTCGATAACGCGTCGTTGTACGAGCAGTGCACGTAATAACCTATGCTAAATACTCGATGATGCTGATATTTGTAGCTCGATGTTTCCGGATCCCTCTCCATTTTTTCCAGGATATATTCTAGATCGACGTACACGACAAACAATACACGTTCCTTTCTGCTGTAGTTGCTAAAACTCAGCCACTTGTTGTCTTCGCTTGGTAACTTGATCGCGCATTCGTTCATCTCCCCGCAATCTACTGTGTGGACCTCCAACTTTTCGCTCGAACTGGAATAATGTAGGCATCTGAAAAAATCAATTTATTTCATTTACATTTTTTTTTAAAGTTTTTATTAAATGTATACATACCTATTGCAAATGTATTTCTTATTTTTCTTTTGCTTAATTGCGAGCTCACGAGGCGGGACAGATTCTTAATCCATGCAAATTGTTTCACACCATCTTTCTTTACGTATAATAAATTGATGTGTTTCTCCATCTTCGTATCAGCGTGGCGAATCGATAAGATCGATACTTGTTCCTTCTTCTCAATGGTATATTGATGGAGATTGCGTTGAGGTTCTCAAACATTTTTATTCGACTCTGGGGAATTGAATGTCTTTGAGACTTAACACAGATTTATAATGCGGATACGACGATTCCAGGTCTGTGTTACATTTAGCTGGATATAGAGCGGCCACCATTGACCACGCGAAACATGCATTGTCCATAGATCGCAAGTTCACAACCGCTTTCTTCATCATAATTTTTCGCGGTAACTGGATATGACATCCTGCGTGCAAAGGATTAAACTTATTTACATTAACTAGCAAGTTCAGTATTCGCGATAATGCCCACCCGCTGTCACGTTCTTGGAATTCTTCCAACAACGTTAAGATAGGCTCAACAACGTGCGAATCGTACCACGCGTAAATCGGAGCAAAGATAGAGTTCACAGTTTCTCGTGATAACACTTTTATTCTCACGTTTGTCACTCGTTCCGAATTCACCGTTGAATAGGGTGTTTATTTTGATATTATTATGCCTCTGCATAACATTTCGCACACGTTCGAGCACAATTTCTCGCGCATCTTTCAGAAACTGTCGAGGTTCAATATGTCTAGAATTTATTACTCCACCGGTCAGTGTACAACTATTGAAAGCTGTGTCTATTTTACGCCATCTGAGTCCCGCACCGTATCCTGCGCCCACATGCACGAATCGTCCGCGCACCGAATCTCAAACTTTCGAGTCGCGCGATATAAGCGACGACAGATTATTTTACATCGATCGATAATCGCGGATGTTGATTTCGACTCTGTTCATCAAGCGAATCGATGAATTTGTTGGCACGCTGTTCCTACGCGATAAAGTCTTCTCGCGTAATCGCCGAGTAGCTCGTCCAGATCCGCATCGTTTGCTCCATGTTCTCTTTGGCACGAATACACATACAAATACAGTATTTTGCAATGTCTTTCACAGCGGATC